TGCATATGCGCACACGAAAACGGTCAATGCGAAAGGCATGAATCAGGGAGTAGTAAAATACCGGTATTTTTCTACTCCCTTGCCTGAATAATAAAAATAATTATATGAACCTGTGACGTACATATGTGTGACCCTATCTTTGGAAATAAAAAAATTGTGGGAAATAAAATAAAAAATCGCTCGCTCGCACCGATTTTCACAGGCTCATGACCTGAGAATCAACTTTATTTTTTACCATGGCCTTAAGGCAAAAATTAAAATTTCACCAGTTGTAATCTTCGGGGTGCTGAGTCGAATGGTCTTGGTCCGAGAAAGCTGAGACGCTCCTTCCTACTTGAATCCCAATCGAACTCGCGCACTTCCACCGAAACTGGGTGACTGCGCCCTACTAGATAGGGATTTGTATGCAAAATGTCACTAAAAGCGCCATTTCGTTCTTATTAAAGCACGGATGAGCGCGATTGGCCCATATGTTGTAGTCTTTTGGACGCTGAATCGACTGGTTTTGGTCCGAAAAGGCTGCGATGCAGCGTTCCTCCTTTATTCCCAATCGAACATGGTTGAACAAGCGGTCACGTGCTCCTGCGTATACCAGTCACCTGGTCACCGTGCCTGCAGGGTACAACTTACTAGCCTGTTTGACCTTTTTTGGGTGCAGTCCTGTCACTCGAGTTGACCTCGAGTTGAACCTTGGTGTGAAAGTTGTCGCCTGCTGGCGTGGTGACCAGGTGATTTGGGCATATATAGGTATATAGGTATAGGTATTCGTTCTTTTTGAACTCGTCAGCGCAGCACAGAGGAAATGAGGCCGAACCTGATAGCAATGGAAATAAAAATTTCCAATCAGGCCCGAACGTACCTTGCCAGAGTGCTCAAACTGACAAGTCAGTGAGCTCTGTATAACGCAAACAGCAAAGGCACTACCCCACGCAAGAGTGCTCAACTGCTACAAGAGCAGGAGCGAAATACTCAATCTGCGGACAGCATGCTGTTTCGTTCTTTTTGAACTCATCAGCGCAGCACAGAAGAAATGAGGCCGAACCTGATAGCAATGGAAATAAAATATTCTCATATGCGAGCAATGCTCTCACACCGTTGTCACACACTTCTTTTGACAGGCTAGAGCGACTCCAGCGGAAAGCCGCCAGAATATGTCTCCACCTTTACACACACTTAGAACACTCCCACCTTTTGCATCGCATCAAATGGCCAACATTATTTTCACGCTTTAAAGTTAAACATATACTCTTCGCGCATTCTCTGCGCCACAATTATGCCCCAGAACACATATACTCTCGCTGCATACTGCTAGCAACGTGCAACCTTCGTATAATTTACGTCGCTCTCGTACTTGGCACTTGCCAACTCCGCGGACTGACCGCTGTCTCCATATTCCCCTGTACAAGGCCCTTCATTACTTTAATTGCTTGCCCACCCAGCTTCGCGAATTCCCTTCTCGTACTCCCTTCAAATCCCAGATATCCCTGCTGTGTTACAACTCTGTATGCTCGTGTAGCGACCACCCCTGCCCGTACACTTAAGTACACAACTCCGTATGCTCGTGTGGCGACCACCCCTGCCCGTACACTTAAGTAGTCAATACCCCTAGGCCCTGCCCATCCAATTCTTCCTCACTCTTTCTCCTTTCTTACACTATTATCTCTTATTGGCCACTGGCTATCGTGAGAATACAGATTTGAAACAAACCCGTGGATGCACACGGCACACGCATGTGGGCATGCACACATACGCACATGCACACATACGCACATGTACACGACACAAACAGAATATTCTTCATGTATATGGGTAATGCCACTAAAAGCAGTGGCAACCGTACTTCAGGAAGTCAGTTGTGCGGAAACAAAATAATTCAACTGCAACGTGTAGACAAAGCAGAACATAGCAAAGATGACATGTGCCCAAGGATTGCATTTTGCAGACCACGCCATGGAAGCAGCGAATACAGAATGTAATATCATACCAAGTGACAAGCAAAGAAGTGGCCACCATACACCAGAAACTTGCAGAAAGTCACATATCCAACAGATAGAGAAGTGAACAGCAAATCTGGTACAGCCCACACAAGACAAAGCTGACGTGATACTCGTCCCAGGAATGCAAGTGGCAGATCCTTTTCAATGCATGACATGCAGGTGTACGTTACACGCATGGACGAAATCTGACCGTGTCGCAAGCATACAATGTCATCACAAGTATACCCCACAAGTTACACACATGCACAGTAGAAGCACAATGAAAGCAATGGAAAAGTACGATGTGGCTGCTGAACCATCTTCACACTTCAAATTCAGACTTCAATGTGGTGGTCACGGGATGATATACCTGCAAGATACAAGTGATGCAGAAAGAAAGCAGAAGGTCGTGAGGTAGGCTATGAGACACCACAAACGGGTCATCTACATGTATGTTCAGGGCTAGTGCACTCACACGCAGGATTATCAAAATCGAGCATCTCCCAAACTGAGAAGTGCAATGAAATCCACTTGCATGCCTAGGAGCAATTTTGCAGTGTGATGCGTAATTCGACACGATCTGCGATGCTGCGTGCGATGCAAACTCGCGCAAAATACCATTCACGGAATGACTGTAAGAGGTCAGGGATGCAACAACGCCCAGCTGACATGTGTCTCAAAGCTCAATACGAATGCGTTTGTCACCATGGCACTCGCATAGCCGGGTACAACTGGTACAAATGTGCAAGCATTTCATGAATCTTTCGTCTCGCCTCCTCAGATAGCCACTGCAAGGCTGCGACGACAACCTTCGGCCTGACAAGGTGCTTCCAGACAATCTTCCCACTACTGTAAATCATGAATATGTAACGAACAAGTAAATCTAACGAGTTAACGAGCAAAGATTTATCGTTATTTTAAAATTCGTTAGCAAAAGTCGTATGCATTTGGGCCTCGCACGATTGAAATCGATCATTTCACATTATGGCATGCAGCGCGTGTTCAACGGATCGGAACTCGGTCAATTCTCAACGGAATTCAACAATCGAAAGATCTAGATGATAGCAGAGACGCTCAGCAGTCGGCTCGAACAACTCCGAAGTCTCTCAGATGAATTTTGACGAAGCGGCAGGAGATTGAATAGTTTGAATTTTTTACGCTCTTACCCTGGATAAATTTTGTTTTCTTTATCCTCCTGACATCGAGGTATTATTCCTGTGATGGACAACAATGAATGTCCTTGACGAGCATCTGTCTGAGAAAATCGTTAACTTTTCAAATCGTTAACCTTCGAAAATCAGAAAATCGTTAACTTTGCGGGTCGTTAAAATAATATGATTTACAGTAGTTGGTACACAGTTCAATATGATGTTTGTATTGTCAACACAGAAGTCATGGACGAGACGTGGGTTGCCGACAATGGGCAATGGAAGGTGGAGTATTTTGTTCTTGGCACCTCACTCGCTTTGAATGGGGTCGACTGTCATGCTTTGTGTCTAGCTTGTGACATGTCTGGAAGGGTTCCACTTTTTGAATGAGTAATTTTTCGAATGAGTTTAGTTGCGACAAGCACTGGGGGTCAAGGTGCAAGTCATTGAGAACACAATATGGCGTAATGCTGTCTTTCTTCACGTACAGTTTGCAAACCTTGCAAATGAACATTTCGTCTGTAGCCGTCGACTGTACACCATTAACTATTGGCAAGAAATATGCAGTGGCAAGTGGCAAGTGCCATGGATGTCAAGTTGTCATGTATAATTGAGCTATTACTTACAGTCCTGCCATTGCTCGCTCGTCGTGATTCCTCCTCGTTCGTTTCGTCGACTTCTGCAGTTCTCCTTCCGTCACGGCGTCAGGTCAGTGCATTGTCAATGGCACTTTTCGGGACTGCCATACGGCAATTTTTTCGTCCTGCGCATTCAGTCAGCGGACGGGACAGCGTTCATGGGGCCGTTCTAGTTGCAGAAGACATTCATCAATGGCCCTTTGCGGTACGGGGTACCGGAAGGAGTTCGCACCATGTCTCCAAAGGCCTAGACCTATAGAGCGGACGCGGACGTCTTTGCAGCAATTCGTTTCGCCCTGCGCATTCAGTCCGCCGACGCGACAGCGTTTACGGGTCCGTTCCAGGTGCAGAAGACATCCACAAATGGCACTTTGCAGTACGGGATACGGAAATGGGCCTCCTCGTTCGACTTCGTAGACTTCTGTAGTTCTCCTTCCCGTCAGGGGTGCCGAAAGGAGCCTCCTCGCAGTCCTCCTTGCCGTCAGGTCCACGTCAGCAGTTCTCAACTATTTCGCGTACGGGATAGTCGTCGCGCGACTGTCGCTCGACGGCTTTATCGTACGCGACATTTACCGAGTGGCATGCATAGACGGGTTGCCAAAGTCGCCTTCGGGGATCCGTTCCCGAGGTGGCTCTGGAGAACACGGATGTTTGAATCGATTTTTCGGGGCAGAGCGACAAGTTGTTTTTCCTTTTTACCTTTAGACGTATGTTTCCTTCCCTTTGGTACAGTTATTTGTAGCAACCGGGGATGGGTCAGAATGATCACTGTTGTGCTGTGGGTTGCTCGACAAGGAGAGTTAAAGGAAAGAAGATCAAATTTCATTTTCTCCCTCGTAAGCCGACAGTGCGAGCCATTTGGCTCACAAGAATCAATAGAAAGGATCTGGTGCCATCCAAGGACACTTGCTTGTGCTACAAGCATTTCCACAACGAGGAGAAATCCAAGAACCAGCCATATCCGGTATACTTCTCTCACAAGTCGTATCCTTTGTGTAGGAAAGCTCCAGAAAAGAGACCGTTGAGAAAATGTCCGAAGTCTAAGCCCAAAAAAGCCAATGCCAATGCCAAGAAACCAAGTCTTGCTGCTGCTGCTGCTGAGACTGATAGTTTTGCTGATGCCACCAGTGGTACGGAGACCGATCCGGCCAGTGCTACGGATGCTGATGCCACCAGTACTGCAGAGGCTGATACTTCCAGTGCTACGGTGAATGATACCGCCGGTGCTATGGAGGCTCATGCGACCAGTGACCAGTGCTGAATGCGCTGCCGCTGCCAGTATAGGCAGCCCTGCCGCTGTTCCCCCTGTGGCTGAGGCAGTTGGTATGGATGTTGCTGCTGAAGCCAGTACTCTTGGCACTAGTGCAAGTTCTACTTCTGACCCCCACGAGATTGGCGCTGCTGTTAGCATTGTTGACGGCAACACGGGCAGTCACAACGTGAATGGTGGAACTACCGGTATTGAGGAGCAGCTTGAACTGTGCAAAGAAGAGAATGCACGTCTCAGAGCAGAGAAAGCTGAGCTTGAGGCTATTGCTAATAAGCCGTGCAAACCAGGCTGGGTACTGGAGTCTGATGACACCGTGCACTACTACACTGGTCTTCCTTCTGTTAAGGTATTTCACTCTCTGTTGGATTTGATATTGCCTCACCTCAACCAGAAAGTAAAATCTGGACGCCCACGCCAGCTGCAGCCCGCCGATGAATTTCTTCTTGTGCTGATGCGTCTCCGGCTTGGCTTGCAGATAGAGGACCTTCAACACCGTTTCAGGCTGAAAGCAAAGTCCAGGGCAAGTAAAATTATAAAGAAATGGATTCCACTTCTGGCTTGCGCATTCAAGCCCCTGCTCGTGTGGCCGTCTCGTAGACGTGTGCTGCAGTGCATGCCAGCTGCTTTCAAGGCGCAGCAGACATACAAGAATGTACGTATTATTCTGGACTGTTTCGAGTTCGAGATGGAGGCACCATCATCTCTGTCTCTGAACACCATGACGTACTCCAGGTACAAAGGCAGAAACACCGTGAAGGTGCTTTTCGGTGTCACCCCAGATGGCTTCGTCTCCTTTGTTTCACGAGCATATCCCGGGTCAATATCCGACAACTCCATTACGATAAAGTCAGGAATTCTTGACATGATCAGTCCAGGAGATGATATCATGGCTGACAAAGGCTTCACTTTGTCCAATTCGGAGCTCCAGCCGCGTGGGCTGAGAGTTGTCGTGCCACCGTTTCGTTGTGGAGCTGTGCAATTCTCAACACAAGAGGTTGAGACAACCAAGGTCATCGCCAACCTCCGCATTGTGGTAGAAAACTGCATCATGCGCGCACGCTATTGCAGGTTCCTCCGGAACCAAATTCCGGTGTCGTCTGTGCGGACTGCTTCAGACATTGTCCTCATTTGTGCCGTGCTTGCAAATCTCCGACCACCAATACGCTGATTGGGTTTAGGTGGGAGCCATTCTATGTTCTACATGTTCTTTACGCCATGTAACAGTGTGAATTGGCGCACGTGTGTGAGGACCGGTGAATGCGAGTTTTCCGCCCTGTACCTCTTCGTTGTTGTGTTGCCCGCGCTTCTCACCTGTTACAGGCTTATAAGCTCTATACCACTGAGCTGGAACGAGAGCTGTTGCACTGCATCCACGTGATAACTATAATTTTCTTTCGTTTTACGGTTTACACCATCGTTTAGTCTTTATACAGCATACTATTAGTTGGTTTTCTTTGTTATGATTTCTTTTTTTCTTTTTCTTTTTACCAGGCGTGGGCCATCCCCTGAATTCATAGGTGCCAAACATTCTTTTTTCTTTAGTTTTCTTTCTTATGATTTCTTTTTCTTTTTACCAGGCGTGGGCCATCCCCTGAATTCATAGGTGCCAAACATTCTTTTTTCTTTCTTTTTCTTTTTACCAGGCGTGGGCCATCCCCTGAATTCATAGGTGCCAACTCTTTTGGACTGTGACTGCAGATGCATATTTCGCGCGAAGTCTTTATACAGTAACAAGTGTTACGGTGTACTTCAAAGTTGTTCTTTAAAAACTAAATGCTGTGCTGCTCTATGCCTTTATGCTGAATGCTGAAACCGCTGAAGTAATTGTCTTGAGTCAAGGTGGGGTTAGCCAATAGTCTCGAGGTCAACAGAAGTTGCAGACCGAAAGAAAACTTGGCATGGCTAGAAAATATATACAAGAACACTGCGTAGATGTGCGGAACTGGAATGAGAACTGTCCATCTAGCTGACTTGTGCATGGCCGGGATACAAAATTTCCCGAGCAAGATGCTGGCTGAAGAAGGTCCGTAGCTTCCCCTCACATTCATTCCAGAAATCGGGATTGAAGCTTATGCGTTGCACGAACAGGTCACCTGATGCTGCCATACAGGCAAAGTCACACCACACGCGGCCAGCACACGCCATTTGACCTTGCACTTGGTAGTGGTAATTGTGATTTTGCTTGAGGCGGAGCTTGCCGTTGATGTCCTCCAGGCAGAAGTTTGACTTCTTCAAGCTGTCAACTAGTTTGCCATTGACACTTGAGAGGTATTTCACCTCTAGCAGCCCAGAGGAAGGCTCACACGACCAATCAGACACGAGTCGGTCAGGGCTGGCAGCAAGGTATCCTTCTTCTGGGTGGTTATGGAGACCAGTCTCTGATATGTCCACCAACTCCTCTTGCTCCTGCTTGAAGGCAGCATACCGCTTGACAACGACTGGTTCCTTCATGCGGCCTTGCGCCAGTGATGTTACGTGCACGGGCGGATCAGTATAAAGCAGCTGGTTGACAAGGGATTACATACACCCAGAACGGCGCTTGCAAATGAGGCCAAATTTTGATGCCGTCAATCTGCATATTCGTTCCGTGTACCATGTCTCTGACTGATGCTGCTGGCTGATGCTGTGGCAAACTTGCTCTCGCTCAGCTTCATTTAGACTAAGTGCCGTTGACAGTAGCTCACACCAAGAATCAATATCAGCAGGCGTCGGTGGCACTGCAGCACTATTGATCACGTCAAACACGACACCAAGATACTGAGGCAGACGAATTGGCCTTGGGCGAGCACTGGCGTAAAGACTCTCCACGAGCTGAGGCACAGCAGCAGGGAGGATGCTACTATCAGGTATGCTACTGTCAGGATTTCCACTCTCATCGTCAGAGGAGGAGTGGCCGGGTCGGAAATATCGTAGAAGGACCATGGATTGCTGCGAATCTACCAAGTCCGCATGCAGCTTGATATGCAAGGGGAAAGTGTCCAAAGTTGGCAAAATCTTACTCTTGTCTACGTGCTCTACAGAACTATCAGGCTTTACAGGGGTGAAATTCTTGTCCTCAACAACTTTCTGAAAATCCAACCGCTCCATAGGCAATGTTGGATCAATGTGCCGGGTAGGTATCCCCCACTGCCTAGGTAACGACGTTCTGGACACATCCGGCTCCGAAGTACTGCTGCTCCCAGGTGCACCACCATCCAAAGAGTTAAATTAATGAAAGCTCCAGCTGCACAAAGGTAGTGAAAAATAGCACACTGGTGACTACACTTACCTAGCCCAGCTGTACATTTGCAGGTGTTCTGCAGCAGGTCGAAGTTAGTGCAGTTGATGGCCAGGAACACCTTGTGTTTTTTATCCTTCGTCTGGCTTGCCCAACAAAATGCACTGACTACAGCATCATTATCCGCTTCAGACAATGATATTGTCACAGCATGAACAAAACCCTCCTTTGCAAACTTCTGCCCTCTCTTGAACGTTCTACCACTACCAAAAATTATCTTTATAGTTCCAATCGTCAAACCGTTGAAAGGTTTCAGAGAGTCAAACGGCAGATCCATGCGACTATCCACACTATCGCTGCTACTACTACAAGTCCTACTCTATTCCTACACTACCACTAGAAGTCGGCAGCAACAAACAACTACCATGTACCAATACACTAAAAGGAAGGAAACGCAAGTCATGCCACAAGCAAAACAAAACACACAAACACATCAATCCATGTATCTCTTTGCCCCGAAAAATCGATTCCGAGCTCCGCGGTCTCCAGGGCTATCTCGGGTACGGATCTCCGGAGGCGACTTTGGCAACCTGTCTATATTAGCTATGGGGCTGTTAAGTGATGACGTCACAGTTCCTTCGATACACATAGCAACGATCCCACTGGGGACAAACAAAAGTAGCGTCGTCTCCACCGAACCAGTTGTCAGTGGCAACATATAGGAATCGTGTACATTCCTTCGTTTCTTCTTTGCTATTTTCAGTGAGTGTGTTGTTTTCTCTTTGTCCTTGAACTCGACGGTGTTGTCGTGCTCATTACCTTACTGAGACGTCTCTTGTGACTGTAGCCAGTGTCATGGAGGATTTTATTGGCGTGACGAGGCAGATCGCCGAGATCGAGCGTGAAAAACGCTCTGCATTAGTTGCTCGTGTAGAATGTCTTCTGGGATGGCGTATCCATGGTCAACAAAGCCAAGGTGCAATACAGCATAAGAGATCGTGTAAACGATGTGAACTCCAAAAGGTAAGCTAATGAACAAGTGGAAAGATATGTGTATTTAGTATTTACAAACTCTCTCTTCATCGATCGATTGCCGCTCTGCATTGCATTTTGTCTTCACAGATAATCTGGACAAATAAATTATATTGTAACTGGAGAGTGCAATCGTGCCTGGGACCCATCCCAATGTCATCACATGGCTGTGGTGACTAGTGTATACCTGGGAGAGTTTTTCCTCAACTGAGACGGAGTATTGGTGGATGGATTATGAGAAATGCGAAGATGTGGAGTAAGTTGTGTCGAAGAAATGTGTAATAAAATAGAATTTACTTTACACTCAAACATACACTGTACATGTACATGTAACACCATGATAATGATTCCATCTTCATATCTCCGCAACAGGTACGCCATACGCACCGAATACATGGTGCGTGTGCACGCGCGCGCTTGCGTGCGCGCGTACATGCACACACTCTCATGCGTGGCCGAGTTGGCCGGATGAACAGACCACGCATGTGCACGAGGTGTCTGTCATGTCATTGGAATGTTGTACTTTATGACTTTATTCCAAAATAGTATGTCTTGCCCCTGTCAAATGGAGTTTGTGTCTATGCTCAGCGGGTATCGGGCCACGACACCACACTGCAGTCAGCGCTGGAATTAAAATAGCACTTCATGGATTATTTTAACTAATTTCCTTTGCGCTTACATGTACTTTGTTGAGCCGGTGGTTTCATTTCTGTGTTCTGTTATGATTGGCCTCTGGAAATAATCGGAGTGGATGTCATTTTTGCCATATGTGTGCCTTGTGCAACAGGTTCAAGGCTAGATGCACTTCACATTCGGCGTGCGATCTCGGCGTCTGGGACCTGATAACGTCTTGGTTGGATGGGTAATCAAGGATGATACTACTCGGCACACCAATGTACATGTCAATGTAATTTTTACTTTTTTTCAGAGCTGCGCTATTTACGTCTTGATGCTTACTTCGGTGTTGGCGTGTTTCCCCCGGGTTATTTCTATCATCATGCGTGTTCTTGGGCTGAGCGAGCACATGCACGAGTGTGCAGCTATAACCCTGTGTATCATTGGTTACACTTTGTTCTGCAATGCATGTACCTTGTAACAGTATGTGCTTGCACTGCTTTGTGTGGCCTGCGTATTTCAGGACTATTCAGTGCACTAGGCCCAGGTTGCTGGTTGGTTTGGTTGCCGGATGATCTCTTGTTGCGTCGATCTGTGTTTTGTATTCATCAATTTTTGGGCTTGAGAATTGAGCTGGTGTGTGGTTCCCAATATGAAAACATCATGCTGGTGCTCTGTGTTTCGATTATCGACTGTCCGAGCAGTCACGATTCATTACCAGAACGGTCAATACTGTAGTCTCTTCACATGTTTGTCTCTTTGTGTTTTCGCCGGGGGAATTAGCGGTGACGTTGCACATAGAACGGCAGTGTTGCATCACTGGACGACCCTGTCTCTGCATCTGACTTCATTTCCCCAGGATCTGGTGCAGATACACCAGACAGTCACTTCCTGTAAACACGCAAACAGCAAAAGAAGAGACCCCGCAAATCAGGAAAAACCATCGCGGAAAATATCGAGTAGATCATACACCATTCAATAATCTGGAGTAATTACAGTGAGACAAACACCTCAAACAGTTCTCTCTCTCTCTCTCTGTCGCTCTGTCTCTCCCTCCATCCTTCCAAACTACCCTGTTACAATTCCCTAGAATTATTATTTTATATTTTCAGGACATCATTCTGAACATAATAACTTCTTCCATGGGTCTCCAATCACCACGGAGGGCGAGAATATATCTAAGTCATGCAGTTTACGAGAGGTGCGAGCTGTCATGGATATAGAGGCTGATATTGTGCCAGCGTGAGGGCAGAGACAGGAAGAAGACACTGAATTCTTGAACAACTCACCTACATATAATCGTATCCACAGGGAGCGCTCGTACTTTGATCCATCGGGACGCGAAGAATCTTCAAAGCACTCTCAAACACGGAGTTTTACAGTGGGCAGCCAATTTCACAGCCATTATGAAGGCCCTCGACGACTACAGGAGATTTGTAGAGGAAAGAACAAGGAGTAAAGAGCGACAACAATCGCTTGAAGAAAAAGCAAAGAAAAACTGCTCTCTCTCCAGTCATTTAGATGCTGTTGCCCTTGACAACTGGTTCCATCCAGTGGACGCGACTTTTGTTTGTCCCCAGTGCTCTCCGTTGCGATGCGTATCGAAGGGGCCGTGACGTCACACTTAACAGCCCCATTGGCACAAAGCAGACCGCTGACGTGGTCACTGTCAAAAAAGTATCAACAAAGTGTGGACAACGTGTCGACCATATAGCGGTACACTCAGCGGTACACTAATTCTCGTGCCATTCTCGTGTCACAAAACTGGAACATCGAGCACCAGTATGGAAAGGCTTCAGACAGGAAGCCTTGGAAAGGCTTCAGACAGGAAGCTCTTCCAATATTTGCCAACCTATCTGGGCAGCTGGACAAAACAGTCAACACTCAACAGTTGAAACTGGGGCCACGCTTCATTTGTATCACCATGATATGAAGCGCCCCCCATGGAAGTACTTAGGTTCGTGCTGGGGCTCTGAACGGTGCAACAAGGGCCTTATATGTCCCCCCTGCGCATGCAATAGTACTCAAGGATTATTTGGGAAATGACCCCCGGATCTGCGCGGAAGACATAAGAGGTCTCGGAACCCCACAGATAATCCGCAAGCTCACCTCATCTACGCACAAAACGCTTTTGCGGATATTTGAGGAGAACCTGCGGGGTGCCCCGTAGTAATCAAAGATTATAGGGGAAATGACTTCTGGAAGACATAAGACGTCCAAGAACCCCGCATGCACAGATGACACGCAAGCTCAACTCATCTACTCACAAAACGTTTTGGCGTTGGAGGAACATCGAAAAATACAGTCGTTTGCTGCACACGTCTGGGCTTTGCCGCATTGAGTTGCAGGTACTCCACGTCTTTCACAAGTGGCCACACAGGCACACAGCAGTCATTTCATATATCGAAACCGCTCTGTACTGTCTTGAGAAGTTACTTCTCTTATTTCAAAACGACCAGATCGAACCGCATTGTGTGGAGGTATTATTGTGACCAGCGGGACTAGCCTGCCGCGAGACACCGGTGAGTTTTGATTACGCTTGTTCTTTCCCTGCTGCATTACCAGTAAATGGTTCCTGCCTGTGTCATTCTGTGGTTGATTTCGACTGGCGACTGGCGCAACTTGTTTTCAATAGTATATGTAGTAGTTTTGACGGAAATATATAGGTCTGTCACTAGTCTCCAAGTGATGGCTTCAGTGAGTTTGGAAAACTGTCTATTGTAGAAAGGAAGCGAAATAAGACTCCTGAGATGCACCGTGTGTCGACTTGTAGAGACGTGCGTGGAACTAGAAAAGAGACTGCCCTCTTTCAAAAGGCGATGTAACTTAGAAATACGAAATAAAACATGATTGCCAGTACTTAGAGGTTTGCGCCTTTGCTCAGCTGCTGCTCTTAAACAATCTACTACAGACGAGCTGTCAGACACCGGACGACGAGGCTCTAGCGACGACAAATTTGGGGATGATAACTATTGGAATTGCAGCGGAAGACCGCAATGGTTGTGATAACTGAAGTATATAGTGCATGTCACAGCATTGTCTCTCTCTGTATTGTCCCCTCTCTCTCATCTGTCTTATAATTATATGCGCATGCAAACAATTCAGTTCTTTTCTTGTCCCGCACATGGACCCATGCGTGGCTAGCAGTCCCAACACAATTGTGGTGGCAGTGGTTGGATTCGAATCCATGCCTTCTCAGAGACTGGAGCCCATGCTGTGCCAAGCACTATTATAATATATATGTGTATTGCAATGATGAGGCGAGCTGGGTGGGTTTTCAACCAATGTATTGCCGACAAGTGCACTGACATCATACTGGTTGATTCGATAGGTGAAACGCACAGCATTCTGGTACACGTACCATGATCACTTGTATCATGATGGAAAGGTGACAGAACGCTGAACAGTAATAAATTAAATTTACATGAAGAGATAAAAAAAAGTTCCAAAACACTAAATATCTGTTCGTCAAGTGATGGTCCAAAACAGGGTTAATGTGATTTCTTATCACTCTCTTAGGCCAAATGTTAACTCAGGTTTGAGTCAGTCTGTAGAGCAAGAGGGTACAGCAATGGGTAATGGAGAGAGAGAGAGAGATAGAGAGAGAGAGAGAGAGAGAGAGAGAGAGAGAGAGAGAGACATAGCCAGCAATCGCATGTCATCTCGTACATTGAAAATCAACATAATTTTGCGAATCGACCTTTTTTTCAGGATCACTTTTCAACGAGGACGAAGCAAAGTCGGCCGAACGAAGCCTAGAGGAAGAAAATCACCCTCTCCACTTCACCATCACGATACTGACATAGATACGAGATGAAACAACTAAAAAATTCACAAGAAAACTGTACGCCCATCATCGCGCTGACTTTGGTCTGACTTTGGTCTGAGAATTTCTATCACGATCAAAAATGTACGAGGAGCACTCAAAAATCAGCCACAGACGTACCTTTATCGCTCTCTACTCCTTTTTCAAGGCACAAAAGTCGACTCTCCACTTTCAAACCAGGAACCAGACATACCAGTGGTCCTTTTCAGCTGCTCCACGAGCGCAGGAAATGTTCACCAATGGGCACAGAGCAGCATCCATTCCAGAAAAATAGCTAAAATACGAGGGAGACTGCATGCCTGAGTACATGAGTACATATATGAGTACATGCAGAAAATAGTCAATTTCAGCGTTTCTGCTCCAAACAGCAACTAGCTTCGACTAGAAACAAAGATTACACCAAAGGATTTTGTACTCCTCCGAGGTGTGATTTTTGGCGTGTGGGGCCAAGAACAAGGAAGCCATCTGCAAATAAACTGCAGAAAATAGTTGTTGTTTGATCCTTTGGTGTAATCTTTGTTTCTAGTCGAAGCTAGTTGCTGTTTGGAGCAGAAACGGTGAAATTGACTATTTTCTGCATGTACTCATACATGTACTCATGTACTCAGTCATGCAGTCTCACTCGTATTTTAGTTCTGGAATGGATACTGCTCTGCGCCCCTTGGTGAACATTTCCTGCGCTCGTGGAGCAGCTGAAAAGGACCACTGGTATGTCTGGTTCCTGGTTTGAAAGTGGAGAGTCGACTTTTGTGCCTTGAAAAAGGAGTAGAGAGCGATAAAGGTATGTCTGTGGCTTATTTTTGAGTGCTCCTCGTACATTTTTGATCTTGATAGAAATTCTCAGACCAAAGTCAGACCAAAGTCAGACCAAAGTCAGCGCAATGATGGCCGTACAGTTTTCTTGTGGATTTTTTAGTTGTTTCATCTCGTATCTATGTCAGTATCGTGATGGTGAAGTGGAGAGGGGGATTTTCTTCCTCTAGGCTTCGTTCGGCCGACTTTGCTTCGTCCTCGTTGAAAAGTGATCCTGAAAAAAAGGTCCATTCGCAAAATTATGTTGATTTTCAATGTGCGTGATGACATGCGATTGCTGGCTATGACTAACACCAGTCACTAAACAATCAGCTCGTTCGTTAACATTGCGCGACACTGACCGACGATGCTGACCGACGGTGCTGACCGACGGTGCTGACCGACGGTGCTGACCGACGTTGCTGACCGACGGTGCTGACCGACGGTACTGACCGACGGTGCTGACCGACGGTGCTGACCGACGGTGCTGACCGACGGTGCTGACCGGCGGTGCTGACCGACGGTGCTGACCGACGGTGCTGACCGACGGTGCTGACCGACGGTGCTGACCGACGGTGCTGACCGACGGTGCTGACCGACGGTGCTGACCGACGGTGCTGACCGACGGTGCTGATCGACGGTGCTGACCGACGGTGCTGACCGACGGTGCTGACCGACGGTGCTGACCGACGGTGCTGACCGACGGTGCTGACCGACGGTGCTGACCGACGGTGCTGACCGACGGTGCTGACCGACGGTGCTGACCGACGGTGCTGACCGACGGTACTGACCGACGGTACTGACTACCTACAACTAAGGGAGCATCTCATAAGTTCGCACTTTTTTTGTAAACGTAACGCATTTCGAATAGACTTTACCCCCCTACCTCCCCCCACTATTTGAAAGTCTTATCGCACATTTTCAGTGTAGATCTACTGTACTGTCCATGCCATGGTATGCACAATCATGTACATGGACATGGACGCTAGTGTGGAAGTGAATGACATTCAGTAGTACCACATCTCCTGAGTACAAGTAAGTTTTAGTTACAGTCTTTAATAGTTCAATCAATGACATGTACACACATAAACAGAGGTCCTCCACAACGACTGTACTGTCAAAGCTGGCCAGGTGGCAGGTACACGGTTTGATCAGGCTGGTGTGCCATTTGACACCTCTGAGTAGCCTGCATGCGTAGTGCAAGGGTTAGATCTACACCTAAATAGGCTAAAACACACCGGTACCCTGCTGTCTGAAGCAGTCTAGCACATGCACTGTATTGTACACATCCAGAAAATGTGCGAACTGTCATTTTTCTATCCGAAATGGGCGCTACCCCCCTACCCCCGTTTCGAAATGCGTTACGTTTAGAAACAAAATGCGAACTTATGAGATGCTCCCTAACATTATGTGGGAGACGCCAGATGCCAAAACCGACCTAAGGCGAGACCAAAAAATAATAGAGATTCCCGGGTGCTTCCGCACCAAAATCAAGCCAAAGCCATTCTTATTTTTGAACAGTTCATATACATGTACATGTACAGTACTAATCGTGTCGAAAGTGCATAAACTGTTTATGGACTGTTGATCGTGCGAGTAGATCACACAAACCAGGCTTCTACGACTCCCCGATGTACAGATCAGGGCCAGTGTTGGCCGAAATACAAAAAATTGAACGGGTAAAACAGCGTGCCTTTTATCTGTAAAAAATGAATACAAATTACAGGAAAAGTAAGGATAAGTACTATAAAAAAAAGTTCAGCATGGCATGCATGCATCCATAGGAAAAAATAATAAAAAATTCGTCTCCCCCCACCCACACCAATTTCACATTGGTCCTGCCCGGGAATCTCGATTTTATTTTGGTCTCGCCTAGTGGGGAAAAATCATAATTGTGCGAGGAGCATCAGGAGTCGTATTAAAAAAAAACTAGATATAATTTTGACCAAGGGAAGTAAAGTTATAGCCTCTACAATAGGAGACCGTTACAAATTGCATCTCAAAATATATCATAACTTGTTATAGCGTAACTTGTAGTTCCTTTTTCTTTCTTATCAATTAATCCTTGGCCCTCCATCCCAGTCCATTATACTTTAGTGCAGGGACAACAGTGCTGCAGTGCTACGGCCACCCAGCCCCACCACGCTCATCTGTGATCAACACACCTAGGCTGGCTTATACAAAAAGCTGCACCTTGCAGACACAGTATTTGTTTGCAGCAACACAGACACCCAGTACGTCAAATTGGCTCACACCCTGCTCTCTATAGACACCGATAAGCCTGGTTGTCGGACATGTATCTATTGGTTTGTGTATTTGTTTTTGTGAAAACGTGTGTTCGTTGTTGTGTGTTTGCTTTTGATTGCCTGTGTATGTGTGTGTGTGTGCATGTGTTTGTTTGTGTGTGTGTGTGTGTGTGTGTGTGTGTGTGCGTGTGTGTGTGTGTGTGTGTGTGTGTGTGTGCATGTGCATGAGTGTGTGTATGTATGTGTGTGTATGCATGTGATGGTGTGGGTGTGTTTTATAGTTTTCTTGGTATGGCTGTAAACCGTGTCCTCTCCAAGTGGCCAGGATTTTGCTCTCAAACGAACACAGGCTCTAGAACCATGGTCCCTTTTGACAAATTTTCAGGTAGGTAAAACTGCATTTGCATTACTGTAGAACGGATAATTTTAGCAGGTAAAAACTTTAGTGTTTTCTCAGAATCCAAGTTTCAAAGTAAAACAGAAGAAGAATGGCGGGGCAAAACCTTTAACTCTGTCTCTAAACTTAGAAGTTGCGACTTCAGCGGGAATAGTCATGAAGTTGATTGATCCAACTAGGAACACACGCTTCTTGCCGAACTTGACACTTGACTGACTCACGATTGCCATCCGGAGCACACGAGGAGCACGTCGCACCTTCCTCTCGGCAAACCTGCAAGAAAGCACCACTGCCTGCTCAATACACAGTGTTTCGGGGAATTCACCCCTCATCAGTTGAGCTCCAGTAGGCTGAGGAAGATTGTGCTTGAAAAGCACCACTTATATACTGCTCTCCAGGCCAAACCATCACCAGGGATACAAACTTCCAGAGAAGCTTTGTTTCCAGCGCGACAAACACCTCGTGAAGCACCAGGTAGTAGCGTGAGTCAGAGTTGCTCATTTAGTTGTGCTAAACAGACGCTGAGAGCCAGTATAGCTATTCCTAGCTATTCGCGTGAGTTGTCCCTTACGCGGATGTACGACCAGTCGTTGGAGGTGACAGCGTTGTGAATAGCCGTCTCTAAAATTGGTACAATTTCAACGGGGTTGGTTTTAGAATAATCTACTTCAAGCAAATTGCTGCCATGTCCACAATATTCTTGTCAAGGGTAATATTTGGAGGAGGTTACATACTTTGGTTGTCGAGCCCCGAGGGGGATCCAATGTTCCGAACAACCATAATTTTTTATCTTTGCCGGAGTCGCATAAAGTCTAGAACTAAAACAAAGATTCATTAGCATCGTTACTATTTAAGCACACAGGTAAATTTTGTTTTGTTGTATTATTAGTTTTTGACATTGTCCTGGCTATATAATAGGCTGTTTTAGTGATTCTTACCATGTGACAATGTTCCACTGATGATAGTCACGAGAAACCGTTTGGACATTCTTTTTTTATTAATCGCTTTACTCAATGATGCAGACAGCTTTATACGGACTGTTTACCCCCCCAGTCTAACATCGGAAGCCTCGCTCTAGAAGTTCAAAGCGCCCTCAGGAAATTTTCAGCTGACCATGCTTATGCAATCAACGGAATTCCGCCACCTTCAAGTTGATTTTCCCCATTTCTCTCCTTCTCTCCTCATCAATCCATACTTGTCTTTGTACATACATCCACATCTACTGTTCTTTCAATCAAATGAACCCCTCGATAGGCACATTGCCTTTGGGTCATTTCATAATATTAATAATAATACATGGGAATGATTGCTCAATCAATTTTATTCATTGCCACTTTACACCTATTGTCTCCTCGTCGGTAAGCTATGTTATGACTTCTCTTTATCCAATCGCCCCTGTCAGGGTGTACTGGGTGTTAGCGGCCGTCGTGAGTTCCCTTCAGGAACGGACACGATAATTTGCTTTTTATTTACTTTACTTTAATTGCCCTGTCTGTATTTCTTCTTTTCTTATTGGCTACAGGCCATCGTGAGAATAAGAGGTTAAAAAAGATAGTGTAGTGGAAGTAATTGTTCTAATTGTCTACAAACACCAACTCAGCAGTTTAGGTGGAAGTTATTGATAGAACGAATGTGCACGCCCTCATACCACCACGAGGACACCAGAGCAACAACACGTGGGGATTTTAACGTCATGTTCATGCGACTATCATCAGAAATCTTCAGTAGTGGAAGTAGAGCATCGCTGGTGATAAACACTCTCCTCAGATCTAGTCCCACCGGTACAATTCAATCTACCTTCACATTTTTTTCCACGTTCATCAACCCATGCACATTTACTTACCGTATTTTCGGAGTATAGTGCGCATATTTGTATAACATACACATATTAGTATAGTGCGCAGCTTTGTATAATGCGCACCCCCAATCTTCGTTGAGGGTGCGCACTTCAATCTTCATTGAAGTACATGCATTTCATATTTGGAGCATAGTGCGCACCTGCGATTTAGGGCCTAAAATAGCACGTCTACAGTGCGCACTATATTCCGAAAGATACGGTAAGTGCAGTGAAAACAAAAATATCCAGGGAACATTCATGACAAGAAGTTTTTGCTTGTGACGTGTGTACTGAGTTCTCAACCCTGTCCAGTCATTGGGTGAAACATAAACAAATAAACACCTATAGTATAGAGGTGTATCTGGTGAGTGAGATTAGTCATCTCGTTAGCACATCTGTCGGTCAGTGAAAATAAAGCCGAGAAGTACATGACCAGCTTCTCTGCATTCTGTTATTTCTTGGAAAACTGGCTGGATTCCATCAACCAGCCTAGGCATAAGGAATAGAATTTTTCAGCAATGTCTCTTCCTCTCCTGAATTGGCTCTCAGGCGATACGTTCCCATCCGGCATAGTACTTATTCTCGGCCAAAACTTCTGAAAACTGTTTTGTCTGCCAACGGCTTGTCAAAGTAGGCTACATTGAATAGGATACTGTTAGGTGTTTCACAACAGCAGATGAACCGAGCAAATCGGATTCGGGGCAAGATCTTCAGTACAAGTCGTCAGAGAGAGATTGTGGAAGAGAGCGAGATTATTGAAGAGAGAGAGAGAGAGAGAGAGAGAGAAAGCTGGACTGAGAAACAACGCAATATAAAGGGCCCGGGTAGCTATGGCAAACATGGGTGCGCAAGTAGCTACCCAGGCCAACGGAACAAAAGATGAGTATGACGAAGTACGGGTGCATGCAGGCCGTCCAGCTTAGGAAAGGTTGTAGGGGTAATATTGTACGGGGGAGGAGGAGGTACCTAACAGCACTGTAATGGACACGGCAGATATTGGATAATTAGAATCTCAAGAAATGGGCAAAATGGGTAATGTGAAATAGAGTATCCCGTTGTACCCTTGTACTGCAAGCATTCATCATGTGCGCTGCCTTGTAGTCATTGCCACGTGCGTGTGCACGTGTATGCTGTTACGTGTATGCACTCATGCATGCTCTTTGTGGTCCTGTTCCCGACATGCTTCCGGGACCCAGGCCGTTCTGCACGCATTCAGATTTGCTCTTGTGTTCTTGTTGTGTCTTGAGGAAGTTTGCAAGGAGTTGTGTCTTGCGCTTAGCTCTGCTTTCACTCTCTAAACCATGTAAATATTTAATATAGTCTATTTTAGAACTCCTTGTGCGAGTTGTGGTTTCCGTGGGTTTGTAGTGTGGGTGCAGTTCCCCAACAAGTGGTGATGAAACCTGGGATTGAACCAGGGACCTTCAGATGCGGAGGGTAGCGAAAATTTGGTTGAGCGAATGGAACGGAGGAAAGATTGTTGCATGCTGCTGTTCACAACACCAGCAACAAAAATTATTTTTTATTTTTTTAAACTTGGTTTTACTTCGCAAAATCCTACGGGAATTTCTTCCCAATGACAAGGTAGCGAAGAGGGACGAGAGAAAGGTTAATGGACAGTGAGAAAGTGCGATAACAGAGTACTGAGACATTCAACGACCTGAAACATAGCTCTAACACATCCCCAGTCCAGTTGCTTCATAACTCCTTCCCATGTGTTTATCTTCTATTCTCCATTTACTAGCGGCTCAGCATCCGAGTGAAATTTTTTTTTTTAATTCCGAGGGACAGCTCACACCGTTTCATTTGACATGATTCGTTCAGAGGCTACTTGCCGAAACTCATCTTCAAGGAATTAGTTCAACGTTTTGGTTTGCATGAACATGATTTTCATTTGTTGTCCATCACAAGCAATGGAAAGAAAAGCACTGGGCGCACTGCTTGTCATAGCTATTAGTTAGTTCAGAACTTGTCAGAGCAAGAAGAGTGGAAAATGAATAACAATAGCAGTTAGCGTTTTGAAATCTTCGCCATCCCCGAAACGCCAGTCTGCATGTGAACAGGTCGCCAAGATGTCAAAACTCCAAAATGCAGAGATGTGACAATCGTCACTTCGCGCAGCAGAGCAAGATGAACGATTTCAAAATAGAAGTCGTCCAGGCATGTGTCCTTGGTCGCAAGGGGGAAGGCGAGATCTGATCGCAGTAGATGGGAAGTGCTGGTACGACAATGATATCCCCAGGAGGAAATTGTACATGTTTGGTGTTGCCTGTGTTAGTTGTTCCGGGCATCCTTGAGCGAGAGCGGTAACGAGTACCAGTGCTACAGCTCTACCATGGTCTCTGCCGAGATGTTGGAGAAGGCATTCAGGTAACAGCGAAGACGATCAGGGACAAGGAGAAGCTTCTCCGTGACATACGACATCGCGTCGACCAGCCTGCCACTTAGAATTGTTTCAACGGTGATAGGTCGAGCGATGGCGACCCCGACTGAGACTCTCCTCCCACTAATCGATCCTGTAGATATTGTAGATATATATATATATGTCGTTGAATTGTTTCTCTTCCAAAAGAAGACTTTTGTTGAGCATAGTAACTCCTTGAAAAGTCATGTCAAAAAGTCACGTTGAGGTCTGGGCTCTGCAGTGGCTGAAAGTTGACTTCTATTTTGAACTTGCTCTGCTGCGCGAAGTGACGATTGACACATCTCTGCGTTTCATAGCTTGACATCGTGCCGACCTGTTCGCATGCCGACAGGCGTTTCTGGGATGGCGAAGATTTGAAAACGCTCGCTGCTATTGCTATTCATTTTCCACTCTTCTTGCTCTTCGGTGCCATTGTCCTGCTCTGTCAAGTTCTGAACTAAAACATAGCAGCGACGAGCAGTGAGCGCAGTGCTTTTCTTCTCATTGCGCCTTGTGGACGAAAATGAAGAACATGTTCGCTTTGCTTTGTTTGCAACGTCGACACCCTTGCTCTGCGACGACTGTCGGCTCTCCAGAATATGAATTATGCTTTCGCACGATTCCGAAATGTCAAGTCAGTGTTCAAGGCTGACAGAACCAGAGAGAAAGAGCGAAATAACAGCGAAGAAAAGTAGTGAAAAAAATCATGAAGTTTTTGTTTCCAGAGGAAGTATTATGTCGGCATCAGTGCTTTTTAAAAACATTTGTAGAAACTTTTTTCTCCGACCGAGGAAGTAGGCAGCAGCAGCGCTCAAGAATTCTTGCTCTGAAACGGCTTCAATTTGTGTGCAGAATATTGTTTATGAGGGATACATGGAATAGTAATTATGAGGAATACGTCTGGTTTCCGCAATACGATCAAGTACCATCAAGTCAGCGGAATAGCGCGTGCTCCGGTGTGGGGTGCGAACCTTTTCTTACCATATTTCCCAAGGAGTTTAGACCGCACTTTGAACCCTCAAAATTCAACCCAAAAAGGGGGATGCAGCTTATACCCTGATGATCAAATTATGGTGGCTGGGATGGCTTTTTGACTACATTTTGACTGCATTTTTGAGTTGATTCTCAGGAGAATAGCCTTACCTAGCTTCCTAAAGTTTTCTTTTTTCTTTTGGACAAAATTTGAAAAAGGTTAAGAAGCGGTCACGTGCTCCTGCGTACACCAGTCACCTGGTCACCGTGCCTGCAGGGTACAACTTACTAGCCTGTTTGACCTTTTTTGGGAGCAGTCCTGTCACTCGAGTTGAACTCGAGTTGAACCTTGGTGTGAAAGTTGTCGCCTGCTGGTGCGGTGACCAGGTGATTTGGGCACCCAGGAGCACGTGACCGCTTGTTCAACCATGTTCGATTGGGAATAAAGGAGGAACGCTGCATCGCAGCCTTTTCGGACCAAAACCAGTCGACTCAGCGTCCAAAAGACTACAACATATGGGCCAATCGCGGTCATCCGTGCTTTTATAAGAACGAAATGGCGCTTTTAGTGACATTTTGCATACAAATCCCCATCTAGTAGGGCGCAGTCACCCAGTTTCGGTGGAAGTGCGCGAGTTCGATTGGGATTCAAGTAGGAAGGGAGCGTCTCAGCTTCCTCGGACCAAGACCATTCGACTCAGCACCCAGAAGACTACAACTGGTGAAAATTTGATTTTAGGGTTTACTTCCCCTTTAAACAATCGACGAGGAGACAATAGTCGTAAAATGGCAATAAATAAGATAAATTGTGCACTCATAACAACAGCAAAAATGAAGAAAGTCAAGTTCCATAACGTTTTCTTGTGACTGTCATCAGTGGAACGCCGTCACATAAAAATGTAGTAACTAAAACACACACTTATATACATGTAGCTAATATGGTTTCAGGTAGAAATACAGCAGCTAACAAGTACAAAAAGCGAAGTTTGCACCTTTGCAATGTGTGAATATAGTGTATGTGAGAAAGGTAGCTGCTGTATTCCTACCTGAAACCATATTAGCTACATGTATATAAGTGTGTGTTTTAGTTATTACATTTTTATGTGACGGCGTTCCACTGATGACAGTCACAAGAAAACGTTATGGAACTTGACTTTCTTCATTTTTGCTGTTGTCATGAGTTCACAATTTATCTTATTTATTGCCATTTTACAGTAATACTTCGCCAACATTAGGCAGTTTACAGTAACTAGTGGTGATTATGGACATTATAGCGTTACTTGTAGTCCCTTGGTCGCTTTCTCGTAGTTCCTTGGTAAACTTCTTTGCTATAAATAACATTTCCGTGCATTTTTCTATTGTGTATGCTTATCCTTGCAGGATTTACCGTGCTCTTAGCACTGTCGATTATCAGCTGTGTGCCGCATTGTTATGCAGTGGGTGAGTGACAGGCCACAGACTCAATCATGATCATTGTTTATTCTCCTGCTGAAGCAGCGCACACACTGACAAGCACACACACACACACACACACACACACACACACACACAAACACACACACACACATGCACACATACATACACACCTGGCCTGGCCTGGCTTGGTGACAGCTGCCAAATGCTTGGCCACGCCTCCCCCGAGACAGGGGGAGAGAGAAGTCAGCACTGCTACTAGGAAGCCATTCGCCACGACGTCGTCCACGATTGCAATTGTGTCGCCGAAAGCCAGGAGCAGATCACAGGTAGCGCAGTGCTTGTTGCAACTCACAATCTCACCTTCTCATAAATTTATCTCTTATTGGCGATGGTGCCATCGTGAGAATAAAGAATTCAACACGGATGGCTGGTGATTGGTATGCGCTGGGGTGTGGGCGGTGATGTCGGGCGGGTGTCGTGCACTTGTGCACAGCAAGTCCACCGGCACTTCGGAACCACGAAGGCAGGCATGGCATTGACGTGCATCCGGCTGCTCCGCTACAGGCACACACACACACATACACACACACATACACATACACACACATGCACACACACACACACACACACACACGCACATGCACACACACACACACACGCGAACACACACACACACGCACAGAAACTCACATGCACACGCACCCCCCCCCCCCCCAAAACACACATATACATCCCCACCCAACGCACACACACACACACACACACACACACACACACACACACACACACACACTTGTACTTGCTCACTGCCAAAACTGGTCACGTGGGTCTCCCCGGGAGAGGGGAGAGAGACTCAAAAGGAATCTTGGAAAGATGACTCAATTGGCCATTGAACCACCCAACGGCCGACACCCCCTGAAATCCCCAAACTAGGGTGGACTTGAAATGATCCCACTTATGGGCTCACCACACCTCAGTAAGTGGGTGAGGACAAGGTGCAGAAAAAGGATTGACGGCATCAGGGTATCCGTTCCGGGATCCAACTGCAGGTACCCCTGCCCCCAGTGAAGGTAATACTTGGTACTAGTGTGGGTGGCTAAATCAGAGTGGATCTGATATAAGCTTCACTAGCACCATTGATTACACAAGAGTTAATCTAGCCAGAAGCAGTCCATGGTTAACAGGTATGTATACTTCAAATAGAAAGTATATGAACCCTGAAACCAACAAAGGTGGTAGGTACAACAATACACCTTCAAGCAGCCGAGCCCGTTGGCAACAGGCCCAACACTATCTGGCATAAGTGTACCCACCAACCGAACTAGCTGGCACACACACACACACACACACACACACACACACACACACACACACACACACACACACAACACACACACACACACACACACACACACACACACACACACACACACACACACACACACACACACACACACACACACACACACACACACACACACACACACACACACACACACACACACACACACACACACACACACACACACACACACACACACACACACACACACACACACACACACACACACACACACACACACACACACGCACACACACACACACACACACACATGAACACCCATGCACCGTGCCAGTGATGCTGAAAAGAAGGCATGCTCAACTTGATGCTAAACTAAAAAATGTCTTTGATCGATCATAAATACGAAGAACACCAGGTGCTGGCTAGTTCGGCTGCATGGACACTACTTTCCTGCACGAAATGGCACGACCACACTTACAAAGCTAAAATCAATGAAGTGGGCATTATAGGGCTAAAAAGGTCATTTCAAGACAGAGGTAATTCCGCAGCCAGCGCCGATCTTGCAATGATCTTGTTTTCTTTGCAAATGTACTGAGTTGTTGATGAAGTAGAATGTCAAGGACATTGTTGGGGCTAGAGAGGGACTGGAAATTTGTATCAAGCAGAATGCCTGGAAATCGCTTGGCGACATTGGTGGGTTCGCTCAAGGAAATGGTATTAGCAATTCGGATGATCGTAGAAACATCTGCTCATGATAAATCTGCCAGAGCAGGCGCAATACGTAACATGTTGTTAAAGAGACTTGTTCTGATTGTTGTGTACCATTTTTTCTGAACTTGGTTTGGATTTTTGCAGGTTGGCAGCGCTGTGATAATGTGACTGATTTGGATTATTTGGTAGTTTCATCTCAGAAGACCAAATCTGAAGCATCTCAGCATTGCCAGAGTTCCTCACAGGGAGGGGAAATCGCTTCTCCCCGGAATCAAGCTGAAAATGATTGCCTGCAAACGTTTTACCCGTCGACTTCAATATATTTGGGAATCTCTCTTGTAGATAACAAATGGCAATCTTCTTCTGGAGAAGTAACTTGGTCGAACTTTGCGCCACGTGAACCTAGCGGAAATGGTTATTGTCTACAAATGTATAATGCCGCTTATCCTGGCAAATGGGATGACTTGCATTGTGTGCACACATTACATTTTGTTTGTCAAAGAGGTAAGGGACTTTTCCTGTTTTAACTCTCAGCGTTTTTTCTTACGAATTTTATCCCAGCACCTTTTCAGACTCAGTCATTTTCTCTCCTTCTGTGGAATGTTGCTCAAAGTGCTT